GGAGGGGACGGGGGGTCATGGGGATGGGGGGGGAATAAAGGGGAAAGGGGGATTATGGAGGGGACGGGGGGGTCATGGGGGGACAGGGGGGACGTGGGGGTTGGGGGATTGGGGAGGCTGGAGGGAATGGGGGGTTATAGGGCCCGATCCGGGGCTGCCGCTGCCCCAACGCCCCGAGTGTCACCCAGAGACCCCCATTGGGGCAGAACCCCCCTTACGGGCCCGAGGACCCCCTGACCCCCCCACCGCATCGCCAGGGGGTCCCTGCGGCGCCGTGGGGGTGGACGTGGCCTTCGAGCAGCTGCTGTGCCGCATCTTCGGGGCGGATTTCATGGCCAGCTTTAAGGCTCAGCGCCCGGCAGCCTGGGTGGATCTCAGCATCGCCTTCGAGGCTCGGAAACGCGCGGCCGCCCCGTCGCGCTGCGCCCCCGTCAACATCTCCCTGCCCTTCTCCTTCATCGACTTCTACCGCAGGCACCGCGGGCACAGCGTGGAGACGGCGCTGCGCAGGAGCGAGTGAGCGCCGCGACGTGCCGGGGGGGGTCCCGCCTTAAGGGGGGGTGGGAGCGGAGCCGCGGGGGGTTTGGGGGCTGTAGGGCGGCCCCGGACGTTGCCCGTCCCGTAGCGTGAAGCTGGTGAAGTGGTCGTCGCAGGGAATGCTGCGGGTGTCTGCGGAGGCCATGAGCGAGCTGTTCCAGCCCACTGTCACCTCCATCGTCCAACACATCGGTATGGGGGCACCCCAAAAAGGGGGGGGGGCTCTGAGCACCGTGCGGGGCTGTGAATGGGCACCTGTCACAACCGGGACCCCCCAGGGTGGGTACCCAAAGTGGGTGCTTCCCACAGCCACATTGAAATGGGCACCCAGCACAGGTACCCAAGGTGGGTAACCAGCACGGGTAGCCAACATGGGTAACCAGCATAGGAACCCAACAGGGGTACCCAGCATGGGTAACCAACACGGGTAACCAATGTGGGCACTCAGCATGGGTAACCAACATGGGCACCCCAACATGGGCACCCAACATGGATAACCAATATGGGCACCCAGCATGGGCACCCACCACAGGTAACCAACATGGGTAACCAACATCGGTACCCAACACGGGTAACCAACGTGGGTAACCAACATGGCTAGCCAACATGGGTAACCAACACAGGTAACCAACACAGGTAACCAACACAGGTACCCCCTACAGCCACACTGAGATGGACACCCAGTAGGGTTACAGGGGTGCAGGGTACAGAGGGATGGGATGCAGGGGGATGGGGGCAGCTCATCTGGGTCCCCCCTACAGCCACACTGTAGGGTGCCCACGTCGTGCCTTATTCCCCCCCGGCATCGTGTGGGGTTGAGGCTGGGAGCTGCGAGCAGCCCCAGATGGATGTGTGGGGATGGGGGGGAAGGAGGAGGGATGGAGGGGGGTGGAGGAGCCAACCTGGAGGGACGTGCAGGGGTGGGGGCATATGGGGATGAGTGGGGCGGGGTGGGGATGTGGGGTGGGTGGGGGTAAGGATGGAGGGCGACAGGGGTGCAGGAGGTGGGTGCAGGGGAACAGTGGGATGGGATGCAGTGGGGTGGGGGTACAGGGAGACAGGGATGCAGGGGGACAGGGATGGGGTGCAGGGAACAGGGGTGCAGGGTACAGTCAGATGGGACAGGAGGATGGGTTAGGATGCAGCGGCTCAGTGGTGCAGGGAGGAGGGGTGCAGGGGGATAGGAATGCAGGGGGCAGGGATGCAGAGGAATGGGATGTAGGGGATGGTGGTGCAGGGGTGCAGGGAGATGGGGATGCAGGGGGAAAAGGGTGGAGGGGGATGGGGTGCAGGGGGATGGGGAGACCAGGATACAGGGGGAACGGGGGCAGAGTATGGTGGGATGGGATGCAGGGGGACAGGGAGATGGGGTGGAGGGGGACAGGGGTGCAGAGGGATGGGATGTAGGGGGACAGGAGTACAGCAGCCAGTGGGGCAGGGAAACAGGGTTGCCAGGATGCAGAGGAATGGGGGTGTAGGGGGATGGGGGTGCAAGGGGACAGGGAGATGGGGATGGGGTGCAGGGGGACGGGCATGCAGGGTGTAGTGGGGTGGGATGCAGGGACAGGGGGAGGGGGTGTAGGGGGCAGCTGCAGAGGGACAGGAGTGCAGGGATGCAGGGGCAGGGATGGAGGGGGATGGGGTGCAGGGGGATAAGATGCAGGGAATGGGATGCAGGAGGATGGGGGTGCAGGGGGATGAGATGCAGGGGATGGGATGCAGGGGATGGGATGGGATGCAGGGGGATGGGATGCAGGGGGATGGGGCTGCAGATGGATGGGATGCAGGGGACGGGGGCAGACGGGGACCCCCATCCCTGAGCCCGCACCGCCGTCCCGCAGACGCCCTCCTGAAGCGTCCCGAAGTTCGGGGCGTGAAATTCCTCTTCCTGGTGGGCGGCTTCGCCGAGTCGGCCGTGCTGCAGCGCGCCGTGCAGGCGGCGTTGGGCACCGCGTGCCGCGTGCTGATCCCGCAAGACGCGGGGCTGAGCATCCTGAAAGGCGCCGTCCTCTTCGGCCTCGACCCCACCGCGCTGCGCGTCCGCCGCTCCCCCCTCACCTACGGCGTCGGGGTGCTCAACAAGTTCATAGAAGGGAAACACCCGAGGGAGAAGCTGCTGCTGAAGGACGGCCGGCGATGGTGCAGCGACGTCTTCGAGAAGTTCGTCTGCGCGGAGCAGTCGGTGGCGCTGGGGGAGGTGGTGCAGCGCAGTTATTGCCCCGCGCGCTCCGGGCAGCGCAGAACCGTCATCAATATCTACAGCTGCGCCCGGGATGACGTGCTGTTCATCACCGAGCCGGGGGTGAGGAAATGCGGCACCGTCAGCCTGGAGCTGCCCGAGCTGGGGGGGGTCGGGGAGCGCAGGGAGATCCGCGCCAGCATGCAGTTCGGGGACGCGGAGATCAAGGTGACCGCCGTGGACGTGAGCAGCGCCAGGACTGTGAGGGCCACCATCGATTTCCTGAGCGACTGAGGGCGGTGGGGCGTGGGGAGGAGGCGACGGGGGCTGGGGGGCGACGGCTGGGCGCCCCTCGTCGCTCCGTGGGGGCAGAGAGCGAGCGCGCAACCGCGCAGCCCAATTGTTCTGCTGCGCCGCGTCTCCGGGACCCACAGCCTGCAGCCCGTTTGTTCTGCAGCCCCACGTCTCTGAGTTCCATATCCATAACCCCACATCTTGGAGTTCCACACCCTGCAGCCCCACATCTCCGGGTTCCACATCCTGCAGCCCATGCGTTCTGCAGCCCCACATCTCTGAATTCCACACCTTATCAGCCCCACATCTTCAGGTTCCACACCCCATAGCCCCACATCTTCAGGTTTCCCATCCTGCAGCCCCACATCTCTGAGTTCCATACCTTACAACCCTACATCTCTGGATTTCACACCCTGCAGCCCCACATCTCCAGGTTCCACATCCTGCAGCCCATGCATTCTGCCCCACATCTCTGGGTTTCCCATCCCGCAGCCCCACATCTCTGGATTTTACACCCTGCAGCCCCACATCTCTGGATTTTACACCCTGCAGCCCCACGTCTCTGGGTTCCACGTCTCCAGGTTTCCCACCCTGCAGCCCCACATCTCCATAGGGGTGAAGACACGCTGAGCCCCGGCGCGTGTTCAGCTGACATTTATTATTTACTTTCCTCGAGCTCTTTGTTTCGTACCCAACCCACACATACCCACAGCTGTATATATATATATCTATATATTTATATATGTATAGGCACATACAGCCTCCTGCTGCTTTCCCAACCCAACGCTTCTGCTCCGTGCGCTGGGGGGGTCGGGAAGGGAAAAGCAAAACCAGGGGGAGGGTGAAGGAGAATGGAGGCAGCAATGGGGGGGGGGGGC